ATGGCCATTAAGAAGCACGATCCCCATAGCGGACCGCTTTGGACCCGGTAACACCAACGATGATGGCCTTGGCGGGTGGCCAAAGTATCTTCCCCCACGGAAAGAAGTTTCTTTCAATCGTTTCCATAACCTGCCGAAAACCCGGTCACAACACATGAAGCAACTGACTTGACTTGACCTCATCATTGCCCATCCATCCTGTTGAGATATTATATTCGATTCGATTCATCCTCCAAACGGATAGTAGAGGTACGGTAGTCCTTGGTCCTTCTTTTCCAAGCCTCACAAAACGTCAACATGATGAAGATGAAGATGATGAGATTTTGGTTGCTACTGCTAGCCGCCATGATGGCTACCGCTACCGCCCAATCCCAGGAAGAGTTGTTTCTGGAGCAACAACAGCAGCAATGCCCCGTCACTGTGGGCAACACGGATGAGCTCTGTGCCTCGTTACTACACCGTGTTCCATTGGGCACTCCGGAGGACTGCGATTGCTACACGTTTTGTAACGACGAACTGATCCAATGTGGAGCCTTTGGAGAACACCGGCCCTTTCAATGCGTGGGAAGAATCGTGGCCGGATGTCGCCAAGCCCAAGCCAATTTCAACACCGAGGAGCTTCCCACGGCTCAAGATACCGTCGTCGAGAAAAAGAAGGAATGTGCCGTGACGGTCAATGCCGATAACGCCGTCTGTGGCAGCTTTTTGGACAAGACGCAGGATACCACGTGTGACTGTTACAATTACTGCAACGGCAAACTGATTGGGTGTCTCAACTTTGGAGAACGAAACACCTTTAGTTGCAGTGGGGAAACAGTAGCAGGTTGTCTCGACTCACAGCGACAATTTGGAGCCTTGGCATCCGGTGGTGTCACTACAACTAGGCAGCTGTCAGGCATGATCGTGGCACTCCTAATGGGTACAGCAGTGCTGGCATTGTGAGGGGAAGAATAATACAATGGATACCACAATCCACCCACCCGAACAACCCTCGCCTGGTCATTCTACCGACTCTCGGAGATACCGTGCACCAACACCCAGTTTCATGCCGGTTTGCCTCAATCCACTTGCGGACCAGCTAGCTAGCTAGCTAGCTAGCAAGCAGGGCACCGATGTTTCAAAGTCTGCCCTAGCTAGCTAGCCGGCATCCTTTGAGAGACGCCTCAGCAAAGGAACAAAGAGCCGACTCACTTCTGATGATATTTATTTTTGTACAAAGGTTTATAGATTCATATTTTTTATTAAAACCAAGCTACTGTATCCTATTAGCTACGGTAGCCACGGTATTGCCGTTCGTAGCTGGAAACGCTTAGTTCTACGGTAGCAAGGTGTGATTTGTTTTGGATGTGAGAAAAAGACAACTTACGCTGATAACTCTCGCTCGAATTCATTTTCTACCAAAGCACCAAACCAGACACAGCAATGCTGCATGCATAGAATGCTCCTACTTCCCCAAGCTCCAAGTCTCCGCTGGCCATTGTAGACACACTGGTCCTTCATTATTTGTTCTCTCAGGCTTTCGCTTGGTGCAGCTGTCTCAAGAATGGATAGATTCGATTCGAATCACGAAGTCCGCATCCTGCTCTCTTCTTACATGTCATATTTTTGAGAGCCGCCTCCAACGGTTTGACACCGACCAGATCCTCGAAAGCATTCAAGCTCAATCAGAACCTATCTAGCTAGCTACCGTAGAGAACTCCAGTGCATGGGGCAATCTTTGTAAGCATCGTGTTTTCCGTTCACATGTTCCCACTGGGACGGAGCAGGAGGCATAACCGTCGTGATGAATTACTGAAGCACATTGCATTGGACGATGCCAATGGCCCATGAATGAAGAATGAAGTCGATTCTGCCTTCGTTGATTTCGATACAATGATACGAAGAAGCGCTGGGGCTGGTCGTCTTGAAACCTCTCCAGTGCCTTGGTGAGGATAGCAGTGCTGGGCTAGCCGTCTTGAGAAGTTCTGGGCTGTTGTGAGATTTCTGTGCTGGGGTCAAGGCTGACGTTTACTGGTTGCGATGCCTGTGCCTCGAATGGACGCAGGCAGCCTCTGCGTGCTCTCGGGGGTCCCGAAAACTGTTGATGCTAGCGAATGTACGTGGTGAAAATGGTGTGCGGATTTTTGCGTAATGTCGTTATCGTTTCCGTTCAATTTTAGTTCTATATGTATTGATTGAGCACTGCTCTTGTGTGTTTGATGCGATGCGAGGATATCCATTCTCTTTTTCATCGGTTCATTTCAAATGAGCGACTACAGACAGAATGCTGACTTTTTGTCGTCGTTGTTTTTGTGTGGAGGCAGAACCTACTTGCTCTGCTGCTGTTTCTTGTTCATTTGCGGGACGGGTCCCCATCGAAAGGCCACTTGATCAATGTACGATCCCGCCTTTCCTGAAAATCCAACCAACTGAAACTTGAAAGGTGCCGGCACCTTGACTTCTTCTCCTTCCTTGTCACCAAATCCCAATGGATTCAACTTACTCCATCCTTTTCCACCGCGGGTCCGAATTCTGTTCCCTTGTTGGTTTTGAATGCCAACGACTGAACCAGCTCGTTGCTGCGGACCGTGGCACCGGTAATGAATTCGCCATTGTTCAATTCGAGCGTCTTGGACTTGCCCTTGCATTCTCCCGCCTTCTTTGTCATGTTGCCGTAGTGTACTTCGAGTCCGCGCACCGCATGACTTTCGGTTGCCGGTGACTGTTCGAGTAAAGTGCGCCAAAAATTTCAAAACAGAGCAAGCCAATCACGGTACCGGTACCGTAGAACAATGGCGCCAACAAGCCGTATCCTTCCAAGCAAAACCAACCTACTAGACTACTAGCTAGTAGCTAGCTAGAAGGTGGTACCGGTACTGGTACCAGTAGCTAGCTATCAATTACCAGTGCACGTGTACTGAGTAATTGCCACCGGTACGGGGCCTGGAGGCGAGGTCCTATCCAAACTCCATGTGTGTCCTCCGTGCATACGCGAAACACATTTATTTTCATCGATTTATTTAGGCGTACGTATCAAGATTTCATTCCTATCCATGTGACGCACATACAGTTGTACGCGGTACGCGAAAGAAACACCACCTCGAATCCCCAACTCTAACGAATCCCCAACTCTAACGAAAATCGAAAATCGAAAAGTGAGAGATCTCGAGATCGCTGTAGGAGTAAAAGTGAGAACACAGTAACTCTACCACCGTTGTTGTCGTGTAGTAAGCAGTAAGCCGTAATGGACTTCAATGATGAGGAATACGAACAAGATGTGGCGTTGCTTCTGCAGCTATCTATTCTTATGGTTGGTCTTCTACTGTGTCTACCAGGCGAATCAAGGGAGCCGTCCTTTTTCGAACAAAGGTTGTCTTGGGATCGGTACTGCCAGAAACACCAGAAACGTGGGACCTTTGCTAGACGACTTCGGATGCGCAAAGAAAGCTTTGACAAGCTGCTTTCGTTTGTAGTCGACGACCTGCTTGTAAATGAGACTCAAGCTATGCGAAGGGGTGGATCAATAATCCCCGAACTGTGCCTCTACTGTACGATTCGATATTTGGCCGGTGGCTCCTACCTGGATATTACAGACATTGCTGGAATTTCCCGTAGTTCATTCTATCGAGTACTATGGAAGACAATAACGGCATTGTGCAAGTGTCCGCTGTTGAAGATTCGATTCCCCCGTACTCAACAGGAAATAAAGACTGCAATGGAGGGTTTTGCCGGGATATCGGACGGTGCTGCCATACATAACTGTGTTGGTGTCGTCGATGGCTATCTTATGCGTATCAGGGTACCGACCAAGAAGGAAACTGGCAACATCCGAAGCTTCTTCTCAGGTCACTATCAGTGCTATGGAGTAAACATCCAGGCCGTAGCGGACCACCATTCTCAGTTCATCTTCTTTGCCTATGCCGCTCCCGGGGTTTCGGATGACCGTAATGCTATGCGGCAATGTGCTTTACAAAATTGGGTGGAGTCGCTTCCAACCGGTGTTTGCGTAATTGGCGATGCGGCATACATCCCTACGGAGCACATGGTACCGGTGTACCAGGGTTCCGACAAACTGATCCCACTCTACGACAATTTCAACTTTTACGCCAGCCAGTGCCGCATAAGGGTGGAGATGGCCTTCGGCATTATGCAGATGAAATGGGGTTTACTATCGCGTCCTGTTGGCTGTTCGTTGAAGAACATGATATGGCTGGCGCAGGCTATAGCTCGCCTACACAACTTTTGTATTAATGAGCGACTCGAAACCTACTAGACTACTAGCTAGTAGCTAGCTAGAAGGTGGTACCGGTACTGGTACCAGTAGCTAGCTATCAATTACCAGTGCACGTGTACTGAGTAATTGCCACCGGTACGGGGCCTGGAGTAGCTAATAGTGCCGTTGCAGATCAGCCACCGTTGCTTGTTGCGCCAGCTGTGAAGCATTGGTCCTTGCAATCTTCTACTACCAGTAGCTAGTAGAAGACTATCACGCCGCCACTGGCTCTTGTTTCGGAAACCAGAAAGAAGCCGAGCGACACTGGCATAAAGGAGCCCTGCTACTACTCCAGTATCATTGTAGCCGGGATGAAACGAATTGCAGTGGAATTCTGGCTGGCTGGCCAGTAGCGTTACTTTGCTTTTTGCTTGCTTCCTACGAGCCTGCCTGCGGTACAACGGCATTCTTGGGTGCCCTACACAGCTCCACTAATAGCACGCATCAAACGCCAACACAAGCAGCAGAAGGGCCTCACGGCAACAAAAAAATACAGCAACCATTCGATCACAATAACAAACTTCACCTAATATAGGTTATTTTATCTCCTAACTGAGAGTTGTGATATGCATAAATTTCATGTAAAACAGCAACACTCTCGAGTGCTAAGATACTCGAGAGCAAACAGACCGACCCAAACAGCTCGCTTCACTTAGGCTGACTTCTTGTCCTCCAGGTACTGGCTCTGCACATACTGCAAGATGTTTCCAAAGCGGTCTGCGGCAACAACGGTATCAAATCGGAATTCGTGGAGGAATTCACGGGCTGTGTATTCCCAAGTCTCTCGCTCCAGGTTCTGGTACGGTTCAATGTCGGCCTGTGTAGTTTTGGGAGCCAGGGAAGTCTTGATCTCCTCAATCTTGGGCTTCAAAAGGTCAAAGACACGGCGACCAATAGCGGGGTCCAATCCATAGCGCACCCAGAACTCCACAAGGAAGAAGAAGAAGACGGAGACGATAGCCAAGATGGCGGAAAGTGCGGCGATGTAAGCAGGCAAGTCCGACTGTTCGTCATCGGTCTCTGCAATGAACTCCCGATCGATCAGACCCCAAGGCAAGGCCACACACGCGGTGCCGACCGTCCCAACGCGCAGCAAAGTCAGCAAAAATTGAACAAAGGTGACCCAGCGGACTTGGAAAATTTCATTGCTCATCTGGCCGCCATGGTTGCGACCCAAAGAAAAGTGGAGACCGACCAAGTGCCTGAGCTTGCGGAGGAAGTGGAAGAGTGCCAAGAAAGCACCATAAAACGACAGCAGAACAGCCCAACCGGCAGCTGTTTCCAAGTAACCAACCACTTCTGGAACATCATCACCGTAAGCCAAGGCAATGATACGGAAGACAGTGACAATGCTGACGGCAAAGAAAACCAGGGCACCACTCAAGAAGACGGCACTCGCGACTTCACTCTCTGTGGTGGCACGGTAAAGGTCTCGAACATCAACAATTGCGCGGTTGAAGAGGTAGTTGTTGCTTGATCCATCGGGACGAATCTTCCTCATCGCGTTCAGGATTCTCGAGGTCTGGTACCCAACACCGCCGCAGATGCAAGGGAAGAAGAAGGAGAGGAAGTAGCGGATCGATACCACAACAGCCCACTGGCTGAACTTGCGGCGTTTGAAGAATCCATAGCTAATCGCTTGAGACTCCAACGAGGCCTCCAATTTAGGCTTGAAAGTCTTGAGCATGTCCAAAACATCCCCCGTCTCGCCGCCCTGGATTTGGCCACCCTGGGTTCTGCCTTGTCGGATCTCATTGGTAGCAGCGTAGATCATGACGAGCTGTTCTTGGAGGTATGAGTTCGCGTGGAAAGTTTTGGGGATAAAATCGCCGACGACAGCTCGCATGAATTTCGCGGCAGCCCCATCATTGTGGATCGCTGCCTTGAATTCTGCGTACGCATCTTTGAAGGATTGGACCACAGCATCGGAATAGCCGTAGTACCCGGCCTTGTAGATGAATTCGTTGGCCAGGTTGTCTAGGTCCACAGCATAAGGATTCTCTTCGAACATCATTGACTCTCGCTGGTCTCGGCGCAACAAAGAAAAGACAGCCTTCTGGACCTTCAAAAACTTCTTCTCGGCGTAGTAGCGCCTATGCTCCTCGTTTCGATTCTTGTAACGGGAAACATTGGTCATGGTCCCGAAGGCAAACCAGATACTGAAAAGACCAGAAACCAACGATGCCCATGCTCCAGCGCCGTCCACAACAGCCAACCCCGCAGCAGCGACGGCAAAGGCGACTGACTGCGTCAACGAGTTGGCAAAGTTCTGAGCTTCCACAGCAAAGTCATCAACAATGGAGTCAACGGGCTTGGGCTGAGTGAACATCTCCGAGGTGAATCTCTTGTTGTCGGCGCGCAACTCCAAGGAGTAGTTGATCGCGTCTGCCAAGGCGTCGGTGGTGAATTTGATGAACATGCTAGTGTCCGAAGAATACCTTTCAAGGGCTGGGGACGTCCCTTTGAAGGCTTCAAAGTACAAATCCAAGTCAGAATCGATGCGGCTCATCTCGGTTTCGTTCATATCGTTCATGTTCATCTCTAACTTGACGCCATCTTCGAACTTCTGCTTCAGCACGTTGCGCAACTCCCCAATCATGGCGCTGAGGTACACCGAGTCATTTTCCAACCCACGAGGCACCAGCGACGCGGCCATCTTGATCTTCCAGTCACGAGAGAGAATATTTTGCTCCATGATGAGGCCGGTCTCGTGGTACTCTTGGGCCTTCTGGTAGAGGTAGTCAACCAGGAGTGTGTATGTGAAACCCGGCCTGAGGAATCCGTCCTGCAAAATGAAGCGAGGCGCTGACGGTGAGCCGAGCGGGAGCACAGAAAAAGCACAAGAGCACAAGACAGAACAAAACATACCTCTCCGTAGTTAGCTCCAGTTCCACGCTGAACAACTTCGCCATTGCTCCAGTTCGTTTCAAGCCCGTATCGCTGGACGCGGGCCTTGTAGTCAATTCCAGCAACCGCCTGACCGATCATGTTGTTGAATGACATACAGTTGATGCAGGCACCGGTCAAACCACTGTATCGCATGAAATGGGGCGACGCCTGTCCATCTCCAACGAAGGCCATCATGTAGCCTTCGAGGGCTTTTGGTGTCTTGACATTCAGCTTCACTGCGCGGTTACAGACGACATGGGCCACAGGGAAAGCCGCAAGGGCAACCTTGGATTCGGAGTAACCGTCGACACCTCTGCTCAAGTCGCTGAGCCTGTGAACCTTCACATCGTTTGGCATCTTGACGATGAAACCAGAAGTGTTGCGCACGATAGAGTAGCCACCAGCCCTGAAAAGGATCTCAAAAGAGGCCAGCGGAATGAATCGGTCGTTGTTTTTGAGGGACTTGAGGGTAGTCTTTGTGTCCCTCTTCAATTCATTGACGGGGGTGTCAACCGGCAATGGGAACGACTTCTGCCCACTTTCCAACCGTGCCATGACGCTGGCGCCATCAGCCCCAGTGACAACCCAAGGGCGGCGTGCGAGCACACAGGCTTCCGCAACCGGCAAATCACCTAGGTTGTCCTCCAGAGGGGAATCAATTGTGTAGAGTTGTGGAATATTTGCTCGACCGCCTGCAGCAACAACAACCGAAGAACCGAGTGAGCGGCTGGATTTCATGGAGACGGGTTGCATTGTCCTTCCCTAGCTTACCTGGATTGTAGACATCACCCTCCTGGATGACCTCCAAACAGGCTTCATACCACAGCCGATCTATGGCGTGCATGATCGAAAAACGCAGCCTTGCCACGGCTGTCTTGGTTGCCTGCGGAGCGTGCTCACGGGCATCCTTCACCAGTTCCTTGGCAGCATCGTTCTTCAGCTTGTCGAATTCTCTTGCAAATTCCATACCCTATAGACAGCACACAACCAAGTTGAGTTGCCCATCGTCAGATCTTAGAATCTTGTCTAGTATCGGGCAACCAACTTACCAAATAATAGTTCATTCCGAGCTCAAAGAAGCGAGTTTGCAGACGGACACGCTTGAACCCGTAAGCTTTCATTTTGCCCATCATCATCTTCAGACGGGATGCAACATTCTGAACTTGCTGGCCGGTTTCGAAGTTGTCCGCGATGTGGTCAAAGTGAGCAATCCAGACTTTGCTCTTATCAAGCTTCTCCATCATCCTGTCGACGGTTGGGACCAGAGCAACACTCTTCGTGAAGTCTCCAACAATTCGGGTGTTTTGATCGTTGACACTTCGAACATCATCCCAAACACCCGGTCCCCATCGCTGCTGGCCGAGCAAGTGCATGCCCATGGAGATCTTCAACCCTTCGATGCAGCAAACGGCGTAGGGCTCGTCCGTGGTGATGTGGAAATGAGTGTTTTTGGTCGAAAAAATCGGAGGCAGGCTGGAATATTTGCCAACAATGTTAGAAATTCCGGCTTCCTGGGCGACGAACGTGTAATGGTCGTCTCCAACTTTCTCGAGCAGGAATCGTCTGGGCTGCCCATCCTCGGGAGCGATCATGTCGTACTTCATTCCTCGCTTCAAGTCCTTGGGGCTCAAGTTCTTATCTTTCGGTTTTCTGAGTAGAGGAAAGCAATGCAAGAGGTGGTCAGAAAAGACAATCGCGTGCACTTAACAAACAGCACAGCAGAGAGAAACTCACCCCGCTGCGACGATCACGTGGGAATCAGTGACGTTCAAGCGCAACTTCTTCTTGGCGACGTCGTCATACGGCATGATCTCCATCTGAGGGACCTCGCCTCCTCTGGCGATGCTCTCAAAGATAACGGTGGTAGGATCGATGCGTCCTTTGCCGGAGGCATAGACTGGTGGCAAATCACGGAAGCAGCCGGCAATGTCTGGAATTTTGGGGTCTTGAGACACAAAGTGGTAGTGGTCAAGCTCCGAATCCTTCTCGTCGAGCTTGAAGGCGCGAACCTTGTCGTCACCGCGGGGACGAATGTCGTACGCTCCACCGACTTGCACATCATCCTTTCGGAGTTGTTCTTCAAAGACAAATTCCCTGACCTTCCACACACCGGGATGACCTTCAAGGAAAACTTGATCGTCCTCTTTCAACGCCTTGCCAGCCTTGTAGGCCCATGCCTTCTCAACGTCAATGTCGATACGACTCTTCGTGTAGAAAGCAAGCAAATCCTTCGAGTTGAGACGAAGGAGTTCCTCTTGCAACATGAACTCCAAACGCTTGATGGTGACCTCAACGAAACCTTGGGACGGGCTGCAAAGGAAGAAGACAAGCGAATGGGTGAGCCCCCGCAAACAAAGCAGCGGCACACTCAAATCAAAAGCACCGCAGAACTCACATGGTGTTTCCGAGGTGAGGGTCGGTTTCTCCGCTGAGAGGGATGAAGATGTCTTCAAAGCTGGTTCCCAAATGGTAACGCAACATGGCCATTTGCCTGGAATCGAGACGAACAATCTGGGCACGCTCATACGTCGCTGCCTCCTTGTCGTAAGCATCACGATCTTCGTAGACTCGGACTTGTCCGCCACTCATCAAGACATTCTGAACACAATGAACAGCCATCAACAATCCGGTGGGTCCTCCTCCGACCACCATAACATTCTGTGGCGGCTTTTTGTCTTGGCCTGGAGGGCTCAGAGCCGACTGCGCCGTCTTCTTCATCTCGGTCAAGGTGTTGAGACGGGCACTGTCCATTTCGTAGCACTGCAATTGAGCAACAGTGATCAATCGACGGAGCCTTGTGCGCATCGAATCAGCGCTCGCGGGGTCACCAAATTCCATAAAGCAATTGTAGGTGAACTTCCTGCCATGGTCCAACTCGACGGTCATAAAGACCTTTTGGGCTCGCGAAATGGCCTCCGCAACTGGAATGTACGTGAGAAGCTCCACCTTGTTATGGTCGTACGTGACGGGGAAGTTAATATCCACATCCACAAAACGCATGCGCTTGGTGACACGGCTGCGCTGGGTAAAGAGACAGACTCTCCAGCTCTTCTCGTTGGTGTTTGGGTCGGTGGTTCCAACCCAGTACCACTTGTTTTTAACGCAGGAGTCTGGAGTGACAGGACTGCCACGAGAGAGCCCCTTGATGCGATCATCCATTTCCTTGCGCCAGAGCTCACGCTTCAACAAAGTCACAGTCCTGCCCAAGAGCAAAGTGCATGGGGTGTTCTTGGTCATCTTCTGTTGGATCAATTCGTAAAGAGTACGGTAATCCTTGGGAGCCAAGATAGCCAATGCACGGGTAATGCAAAGTTTCGACACACCCTTGGTCTCCTTGCCGGTGCCCTGGATGTGCTGCACAACCGCATTGGCCAACACAGCGTCACTCTCGTAGGACCAGTTGATGACCTTCAAGATACTGTATCCAATTCGAATACCTCGTTCCACCGACTGGACCAAGTCTGACACCTGCTTGGCCTCTTCTTCGAGCTCGGTCAACGCCTCGCGAATGGCTTCCAACCAACTGCGAAAGGGGATCAATCGAGAAGGAATTCCGGCACAAACCGGGTAGACAATCTCCGCCTTGAGTTTCTTGACCAACCTGCGGGCCGCGCCACAAGCACCGATAATGGCCTTGTATTCTTCCGACAAGTTTCCACCCAAATTCTTTTCTTCGTCATCATCACCAGGCCTGTAATTCTTGGCCGCCTTGGCCGGGTTGAATTCTTGGAGCTCTCGAATAAAGGGTCCCAAATGTTGCGAATCCCAGGTATTGCGTCCACGCAAGTTGGACATGGTGACCAAGACCGCAGGCATGTGGAAACGCAAAATGATGAATGGATCCAACTGTTCCATGCGCTGATGGGCAAAGTTACCATTCTCCTGATACAACATGTTATGCCAATGCTTAGCCAAGCATCGCAAGACATGTTCGACTCCATTATTGGCCATGGTGGAAGCCGGACTGCTCATGAATGTACGCACAATCGATTCATCCGTAGGCAAACGATGTTCCAATCGAAATTCGTTGGTCTTGATGCGTCCAAAATGAGAGCCAAACTGATCGCGATTGAGCTGTTCAAAGTCGGTGGATTCGGCCGCCAAGTTTTGAGCAGGAGTCTCCTCTCCGGCATGGACCGTCAAACCTTGCAAATTCCCGGTAAGGGCACGAGTAATCCAAAGACCCTCCACACCCAGACCACGGACAATGGCTCGAATGGCAAAACTCTTGGTGGACGGGAAGTTCTCCGAAGCCGCAAAACCCAACCATCCCAAAAAGGGGAACTGACTCAAAATATCAAACCAACGATTCCACCTGACAGCGGTACACCAATGGTAGACGCGATCGTAGGTGGAGTTGTAATTCTGGACCATGGCGCGACTGACATTGCGGTTGCGAAAGGCTCGACTCAAATCGGCCTTGTCCTTTCCACGCGAGTCCAAATCCCATCCTCGAATGACACCATTGATCAAAAAGGACTCGTAAATCATCTGAAAGGGCAACCAATCCTGCAATCCACGGGTAAAGCGGAGACGATTAATGGCATCATTGGTCCAGAGAATGAATGTGCGCAAAAACCAACGCCAAAAGGCACCTAGCATGGTCAATTCCGAACGCGCTTCCGCCCAATCTTTGCGTCCGTCCTTTTCCAATTTCTTGATTTTTTCGTCCAAATCCTGCAAGACATCGCGGTATCCGTCTTCGCCTTCAAAGAAATCTCGATTTTCCGCCGCCATGGGAAGACTCGAGACCCGACTCGCCTTGGAAATGACGGAAAATTCCGACACTTCCTTGTGGGTTTCTTCTTCCACATTGATGGTACGGTCTTCCACATTAAAGTAGCTGCCATCGACCGAGACATCCTCCGCAATGGTCCGAAATTGGACCGTCGACAACTTGCGGGTCGACTGACGGTTGCCCAAATTGGGACGTCCCATGGGGGCTTGGCCACCACCGGCGCGGGTGTGGCCTCCACCCGAAAGCGCACGCGCCACCACGGCCGGCAAGGGAACACCTCCTGGCGATGCCGTGCTGGGAGCAAAGGAGCCGAAATCGTCGACATCGACACTGCCGCCTCCAGGAGCGTCACCCGCCGAAGGCTCGCGATGGCCCGGGTTGATGAGGGTGGGAGAATTATCGTATTGGAAATTCGCCGTGCCCACCGAGGGATCACGAGAAAGTTTGCTCTGGGGAGGGTTGGCTGAAGAAAAGAAAGGAAGAGGAGTGAGAAAAAGGCGACGGAAAAAGAATAAAGGTCATCTGGATGATCATGAGAGTCCTTACCACCTCCCGAGGCGTCCCGAGTCGCAGGATCAGGCCGGTTCAGTTCAGGCATGGTCAAATGAGTTGTTGTTGTTGTTCTGTTTCTGTTTGTATCGAAGACAAGCAGTAGCTGCAGCAAAGAGAAAGATTTGTGTTTTTGTTTCTTTGAAAGAAAAAAAGACTGAGAGAAAGCTTTTTGAGTTGATTTCTTGGTCGGGTAGGTTGAGCCAAAAAATTAGTGAGCAGATTGATTTGGATTCTTCATCAATCTAAAAGATCGCAGAGAAGGGTTGGCATCGCGGCTTTTGACAACTAACTGCCTTCTGGTACAGTTCGTACTGTACATGTGCTCTAAATTTTTAAAACGTACCGCTTGCCCGTAAGACTTGCGTAGAGAATCTACCAGAAAATACACGACAGGATATGACATGGAATAGATGAGGGAATAAACTAACTCAGGATGTGTCACCATGCAGTATTTCTACTCCGAAGGGAGCATTCGCTTAGATATCACTACAGTGGTCAGGACAGTGGGGGCACCCGCCATCACTCAGTGGTACTACTGATCATGTTGTACCAGTTCGAGTATACCGTAGGTTTGAAGTAAGGTAATCACTCAAAAATACTGCTCAGAGAGTAAAGAATACCTAAAGGTAGCCTAGCTAGTAGTTGGGTACGTACCATACCACCACCTGGTAGCTACAGCAATCGTACCTTCGGGATAGGTGCGAACGTCCCTCGGTCAGCCGGCAACTACCAGGTTTGTAGCAGGCAGCTAGCTAGCTAGCTAGTCGAAATCAGCAGCAATGGTGATTTCACAAAGCTTTATATTAGTTAGTATCTATGGAGCAATTCAAAATGGCGACCAAGTTGTGGTTATCATTCTTACTTAGTCTACCAACATCTTTGTTGGCGGCAATAATACCTCTTGGTGGCAGATACGGTAGGCTCACAGCAGCCGACCAGAAGGGCAATTCCCACGCACCCATTCTGACCACTCTGGCGGCCGACCCTTTCGCAACAGAGCCTCTCTACGACTAGCTAGCTACAGTACGGTACAAACGAACTGATCCACAAACATACAGTCCGGACTGGTGCGGTAGGCCTACAGGACAGGTCACCACACAATCTTCCCTGCACCTGGACCATGCAGACCATACCCATGCCGCATGCTTGCTGGCCAGCCAAGGAAGCGATGCCAGGAGAGTTCGCTTTGACAGGAAGCAGCTGGAAAGATGCGCGAAAGTAAATCTTGTCTGGTTGAAGTAAATACTCTGCAAGTCAGCAAATGCACGGTAACGTAGCACGGTTCGATCTCACATGTGGTGGAGCTGCGTGACAAATAAATATCCAATCTACTTAGAAAGCATGTTTCCAACAAGTTGTGCAAATAGGAACCCTTTCTAGCTTATGCAGATTTCCCGCCAGTACTCGATTGAATAACGCAGGACTTACCAAGTCTCGAGTGGAAGGGCAATAAAAAGGTGCGAACCCCGCTTTTTCATCTAAAGAGGTTGATGATGCTGCCACCGAAGGCTACTGCTACTAGCTAGTAGTTGAAAGATTCGAGAGATGAGCTCGCCACCGCAGGCTACAAGCCAGAAAAATGCGACAGTGGAGCTCGCCATGTCTGCTAGCTAGAGTAACTGGTTCTTCTGAGCAGGGCTGAAATGTTGAAATCCAACAGCAGGGCTTCGCTTGAGAGGCGTACCACATGTATGTGATGGGAACCGTAACTTGGGAGATGTTCTAAATTGGCAACAACTGTGGTACAATCCAAAGTACTTTCTACCCTGTGCAGATTTCCCGCCGCTTCGACTGGCTACCGTACCGGTACTCGAGCTTTGAGTGTATGTGAGTGTATCACAGGACTTATCCAAGTCTTCGCTGTGTGGAGGCAAAGAAATATTTTTCCGGCAGGGCAATTAAAAGGTGCGAACCCCGCTTTTTTAAATATCAAAAACAAGGGAGAGGATTGGGCGCTTGAGCCATGGCCAACTCACTATTACATGTATAGATAGAATGTTACAGTGGTACCACCGTACCACCGAAGCCTACAAGCCAGATCTAGAAAGAATTGGAGATAAGCTGGCCACATCTACTACTAGTAGCTAGTAACTGGTTCTTCTGAGCAGGGCTGAAATGTTGAAATCCAATTGCACTAATACCTGGTGGCTGGATTCAGGAAATAGGCTATGCGTGGAAGGGGCGGCATGTGTGGTCCGCTTGTGATGTTGTCACGCAGTTGCTGCTCTGGAGCCAGTAAACCACCACTGGAAGAATGAGCTAGCTAGAAGAATAGAAGATAAACTATAGCAATGGATTGAAGTGAAGCGAAGCAAGTTGTACTGACGACGCCTGATTCCCTTCAGTTTCCCTTGTGGTCCAACTACATGGAGGCTTCCTTCCACCAGCCAGGTGGTTCCTTGAGGCAAAAGTTCACTTTGATTTGATAGGTTTGATGGGGCCAGAGTGCCACTAGCATAGGTGCTAGCGCTTGCACAGTGAGCGGGAAGTGAAGCTGTGCTCAGGCTTGATTCCTTCCCCTGTTGCTTGTGGAAATACCAGTACATGGAAGATAGTAGTATTGAGCTTCCAGCCGGTGGATGCAAAAGCCCACTTTATGTTAAAAGATTGAAGGGCTCTCGCGCTCTCGCACAAAGTCCTACTCGCTGGCTTAAAACCGTAACTGGTGGTTCTGCTTCCCGTCGTTGGTTTTTGGGTGGGTACCGGTACACGTCGTCCTCTCGTCCTCTCGTCCTCTCGTCCTCTCCCCTCGACCCTCGATTGATTCCATTTGCACCTCATCAATATCACCATCATCATCATCATGCAAAATATTGACAACTCGGCCGAGGAGGAAGCCGTCAAGGATGAAGCTCGAGAGTTCATGACGGGCCTCACAGGCTCGGGCGGTGGTGGTGACACGCCTATGGGTGCTCGTTCCAGCAAAGGAGCCGAGATTGTTGGTCGGTGGAAGGCTGCCTACAAGAACAACGAAAGCTTCTCATGGGATAATGATGACATGATGTGGTCATCCTTTTGGAAAATGTCTTACGACGAGGCGGATTCCAATGAGAATTTGGAAGATACCATTGCCATTGTTACAACGCTGTTGAGTCAAGACGGCATGAAGACGCCAACGATGCACGCCAATTGCTTTGCTGTCATTCATACTCTGGAAAATTTGGAAATTGAAGGCCTCTTTCTGTTCAATGGACCGGATCCGGAAGAACTGTTTGGCGCCAACAGCGAGACGAGTTGGTATACATGGTCGCAACTCGGGCCAGAAGCGACCGAATTGGTGAAGAATGCAGTGACAGAATTGCTACGGCCTGTGGATGGCAAGCTCAGTGGCAGGGCCATCAAAGATACACAAGTGTATTGATTGTGCCACAGACACAATTTGCCGTCAGCTGCACAATCAACAGTGCCATTTAGATTCGATTCGTGTGCCCCCGCTACCTCAAAATCAATCACATCCAGTGCTGCATTTCCCGTGGCATTGTACGTTAGTTTGTCGTCGAGGGAGTTGGAATGCCGTCTACGGTAGCGCATAGCGTACCAGGTATTCTGGCGCATGACACGTATCTTCTCGCAGAACTGCTATGGTACTAGAGTTAAAACGTTATCCCCTTTCAGGTTGCTCTTTCCTTACCCGGACCCAAAAGGCAACGAGAATGATAAATCATGATCAATCTAAGCCTCGAACCACTATCACGGACCTCATTGACAATCACCATGGATTGGCGTCCACGAAGGTAGGCGGAGGAACGGCGCATCATCTTGGGTATGGTCGTTGTTCTTGGTGAGTAGAGAAGCCCTAACAAGTCATACAAAGTAGATTCGATTCGATTAAAAAGAAACCGGCCAAAAGGTGATCAGCATCCAGATACCACTGACAGGAGACGGGAGCTGAAGGAACTGGTTGTTGCGAAAATGACGGTTTGACTAACTGGACTAAAGGAAGTACAGTACCGGTACATGTAGTCATACTAGTAGTAGAAGAATAACAGGATCCAACAGTGTTGAACCCATACTTTAGTTTACTGTAGTGACTTCTGGATGCGGAAAGAAGCTCCAAAACGGACATCGTGCTCACACCTGATTCGATTCCCTTCAGTTTCCCTTTGTGTCCAAATACATGGAAGCTTCCACCAGCTGTCCCTTGAGGCCAAAGTGGACTTTGGTTTGATAGATTTGATGAAGCCAGAGTGACACGAGCTGCTAGCTTGCAATCTTAGCGGGCAGAGATCTCTTTGTGGTGGCCATCACGCTGCCAACCAAACCTAACTCTCCCGCAAAGTCAAGATGTGAGCTGGCTTTTAACGACTATCAACGGATTTCGACGAAACCCGGTGATAAGTTTTCGCTTTGTTTTCGAAATCCAGTGATAAATCCATGGAACCCAGCTGATAAATCCAAAACCTACACTCTCGCACAAAGCCCAAACCTTATCACCACTGGTAAGCAGGATGCGATGTTGGCCCACTGGCTGGATAATGGGATGTGTGCATCTGCTTGGTCCGTTTGGCGAGATGTTGTCAAAGACAAGGACTGCCTCTCCTCGCAACACTTACTTTTCTCGTCCCAAGGCTCTAGTTTCATAGGTAGATACACTTACACCGCACATAATCACCATGACAACAGCAGCATACGGTCAACGCAGGAGTAGCCTGGATGGCTTTATCCTTCGGCGCATCCAAGAATCTGCTGCAAAACGATGGAGCATCAGCGAAGAATCGTTGAAGAGCAGCAGTACGAAAGCCACTGAAGACAGCAGTATTAGTGCTAGTACATGGGGTGATCATTCTGGCAGCAGTATTATTACTAGTACATGGGATAGTCAGTTTCATTGCAGTAATCGGAGTAATTTGTGTGTGTCCTTTCAAGAAGAGCCCAGTGTACTGCTAATTCCACCGATTCCCGAAGAAGACATGGAAATGCTGTTTTACAGTCAAGACGACCAAGATGACATGATGGACGATGCCGAAATGGTGGCCACAGGATGGACGAGTCAAGAAGATACTGATCGTGGTTTGGAACGATTCTCCGCTGAGGGATGCCTTCTCAGCCAAGAACGAAGACACACCATCATTTCTGCTGTATTGGAAGAACAACGACGTCTCCAGGAAGAGTGCTATATCTTTGGTGTGGATCAACACAAAGTATTGGCCAAAGTCTCTTGTCGACTATCCGCCAATTGCCAAGACTTGGCCTACCAACGAGCCTACCAAGATGAATTGGAGGGTTTGCCACGACAAACAACAAAACAGCAAAAACAACAAGCACCCCCGGGGCTGTTCTCTCGAGTGTCCGCCATCTTCATGAATACCACACACAACAACAGCACAGGGTACAACTGCTAGCACATGTAATAAAAGCTATATAACATGCATTCATAAGATACAGAGGATTAGTCTCAATGGCCTTTTGCTTTTGCTCTACAGTAGACAGCCAGAGCATATGGCCAAAAGTCTAGCCAGCTGGCTGCCTCTGTAGCTATGTTGCTGAAAGTGACCAATAGTGGGCCCCCACAAGACCATGAAAGCATCCCATACCAGTATCCCATCCCACCCAACCACTTACAAGCAGACAAGCCGAGAGGACTATTTATTACCTACCCATTCCCAACTATTAAGTCCGAGCTTTCTAGCCTAAAGGGACATTATCTTGTTCTTTCTATGAGCTAGAGTAGTGGGACTACATGAAGGACTACAGTACCTAGCTAGGCGAACAAGCAACATTCATGTACCGTACATATTATCGTATTCAGTCCAATGCTGCTGTACCACATCAGCCAGGAAACCACAAACTGGAAGATCAAACGGAATGAAGCTGTGCTCAGACCTGATTCCGTCAGCTTCCCCCATTGTAGCAATGCATGGCAGATATGCATAGAGCTTCCAGGCAATTCCTTGAGGCAAACTTGACGTCAGTTTGATTTGACAGATTTTTTGGGGTCAGTGTGCTAGCTACAAGCTTGTGCATGCAGCATGCTGAGATCTATGTGGTGGCGGTGCCATTGGTACCGCAACCTTTGGAGATCTCTGCAGATACCGTGCCGGTACTACGGTACTAGTAAACTAACCGGCTTAGTCCCCGTTGCACGCTCGCGGAAGAAGCACCCAATCACGCCTGACCCTTTGGAGGGAAAAGATCTATCTCCAAAAAATTGGGAAGGATAGCGTGATGTTGCTATTTGCGGACACAGCTAGTGCTTGCTTGATGCTGCTCTTTGGGTTCTCGTCCAGCTCACCTCCTCCAGCACAAAAGATGAGGCATAGCACCCGCGCCACAAAGCTGTGTGCCTGTACGGGCCAGTCGGGCCATAGAAAAGCCCCACCATAGAAGGCACCAAAGAGCCAAAGATAAACCATCAATCAAGCGGCAAGAACAGACAGACAACACATCAACACAAAAAAAAGAGAATGATGAAATGGGCTAGGTGCTGCATTGGCCTTGCTCTCGTGCTACCCACTGGTGTGCGAGCTGTTGGTGGTTTCTTCGGAGCTGAAAATGATGATGGGACTCTGCAGACAGGACAAGCCATGGCCTTTGGAGTGGAAGGCAACGATGTCACAGTAGTTTATCAAATCCGTTATGGGGGAGGAAACAACTACGGCAGGAACTTTAGCTGGGTGATTCCTGTCCCAAACAGACCAACCAATGTGGATGTGGGATCTGATGTCCTCTTCCAACAATTTCTCAATGTGACCAAACCAATCTTTGAATTGGAGACTATCAGTGGGGAGAGTGCCGTTTCCCTTGGTGACACCATCCCTTGCAACAGCCGTGTGGAGTACACTACTGAATGGTGTGATGAGGGAGGAGCTCAAGAATTCGTTATTTCCTCTACAACACGTAACCCTTTAGAACCACAAACAATCGGACCATATGAATATGTCATACTGGAACCTGGCCAGAACGCTGATCCCACTCAAGTCCTTCGATATTTGAGGATCAACGGTTACACTCAATCACGAGGATCCGACGCACTGTTGAACTTTTATTCCAAACAAGGATACGCATTCATTGTGCTGAGGCTTAGGGGATCCAATGTTGGATATATACAACCACTCATTGTGACGTATCCCCAAAATGAAGAACCAGAAATGGGTATTTCCATATCCCTTCGCAGTCCAGCGGCAACCATTCCCTTTCAAATGGCCAGCAACTCGGTGAAAACAGATTGGAACTATCAGCCAATTCGTGTGTATGCTCTGGGCTCCGCGCGGGCTGTACCCTTGAATTTTCTTGAGGTAGAACTGGATGATGCACAGGCAGACTGGTTGAAGACTGGTCAATGCTTTATCAAGGAAGCAGCCCACACCATTTCCGGTGTTGATGACTGCCACTTGTTGGATTATTTGGATAGATTCAGCGAGGCTACTATGGAACTGGCAAACCATTCCTTTGTCACCGAATATGCTGGTACCAGCAGCATCATGGACAATAAACTCTTCATCAATTTGACAGCAGAAGAAATTGAAAACACTACTTCGTGGGAAGATTTTCAGGACTGCTGTCTTCCACGTCTTCCGGAGACAGAGCTGGTGATTACAACTCTGACAGAGTTTGGAGTTGTCTTCCGTTCCCGATGTGGAAGTTTGTGTGACCGCTGGGGCTTCGATGACGATAGAGAATGGAATGCCACTGGTTTGGCGTTGGAATTAGATGAAAGGTTCTTTCAGCCTGCCATCGAAGCCCAAGCCTGGGTTGACAAGTTCCCTTATCTGACTGCCATGTTTGCTCGTTTGAGCACTGAGACATTGTCCAAAGATGCATTTTTCACGTTCAACTCCGCACTCCCTCCAGTGGACAATGTTCACCGAGCAACTGCCTTTGCTCCTTGTGGTAGCAATGGGACTGTTATCATTACAGTGCCAGATGATGGCAATCCAGCTTGTGGTAGTGAATTGGAAGTGAGTTTACTGTTGAACGCATTTCAAGCTTTGAATCCTGACACATCCAAAGCCAAAAGAGTCACTGCCTGGGGATTTCAGTGGGACCCCCCAATCCACGTGTCTAGATTGCAAGATGGTACCTTTGACTTTGATGAGATTGCGACTGCAATATCCTATGGGGACTCTCTTGTTGTGGATCAGACCATCCCTGAATACATCGCCCAAGAGCAAGAACTTCTAGAAGATGCAATCGATCCTCTTTCCTCAGAGGTTGAAGATGCTGTCATTCTCAAGTCCAATCTGAATGAAAACGATGCCAAGGAGGACTTGGCCCGTGAATCCACCCCAGTGACCTCCTCAGCTTCTTCCCCCTATTTTTCTGCGGCCGTTTCTGTTCTTGCTTGGTTGACCCTGTACATGTAAAAACTACACATTTCGATCGATATAAAAGCACCGTCTAAAGTCTGGGACGTACCAATTTGCTGGATACGGTGCCGCACTAGTATGCATTGGTTAGACTAACTGTTTATTCAATTGGCTGGCCAGCATTGGCTTTTCTTTGCTTGGATGTTCGTTTCGTTGGGGACGAAGGGCAATGCCCCCGTCCAAGCAAACATCGCAGCCGAGACTGCGGTGCGGGGAAGGACTTCACTTTTCATCAGTTGCTGCTCCAGATCGTGCTTGTCTCTTTTTGCACAAGCAGCACAGCGCCGCGACCAGCGTTGTCTGGAGGGTGGCGTCGTCTGGACTCTTGAAGTAGGGCGTTGCCTCTGCAACCACGATGGCTTTCTCGTTTCGTTGAGCGGCTCCACCATCCCCAACTTCCACAATCTCACCTTGCGATATCTTGATGATGGGAATGCTGGCGGAAGGGACCTCTTCGGGAGGATCCGGGCGAACAGGGAAACGAGCGTTCACGGCACTGTCGACTGTTAGAGTGCTGTTGACACCATCAGTTTTGAGTTCAATGAGTGATTCGCTGAAGAAGATACCCTGAGGCGAGGGCGGAACTTGGATGACCGAAGTGCCAGGATGCCGCCCCAACGACGGGACCTTGGTTCCACCCGGAGGATCTGGAAGAAACTCTTTGAAAGACTCGGAACCATCGGTAGAAGGTCCACAACTAGCACACGAGGCAAACAACGTCTCACCTCCTAAGGTTTCGCCTACAGTTCCATCATCTCGTTCGAGTTCACTCATTTTCTTGTTGTTGCTGGGATCTTTTTGTGAGTCTTCTACAACTTTGACTCTGAGGAGGTTGTGGAGCACAGGTCTAAAAAATGAGACGGGCGGTTTCGAGGCGTGAAAGGTGGGGGCCCTTCGAAAGCCGTTCTGCAGACTTAAGTACGGCCGGGCCTTCTGAGAAGAGGCCCACACTAGCACAATCCAAAATCCAAAACACTTCCTTATTGTGACCCGTCCATCAACTGTTGCCTGCCTCACTAACTGACTATGGATCCTGAAGGTTTCCAATATGGAAGCTCCACTGAGGAGGGATCAGACGCTGATGAAATCTCTGCTCTCACTGAACCTAGCGGTTTGGCTCCCAATTCCATCTCTGACGAATCGTCTGCTCTCACTGAATCTACCAGTATCGTTAATAACCAACCTGCAGAACAGGCAGCAGGCGGTGACTCTGGCAATGAAGGAGACATTGAGGCATATTCTGGCTCTAGTAGCGAATCCAGTAGTGGTAGTGATGACGATGATGGACACAAAGAAGATCCAACAAATAGATTGTCACACAACCAAGCCACACATAGTGGTGGGGTTGATTCAGGACGCAACAGTGATAATGGCCCCACCATAAATGAGCTTGCCGCGGATCTATATGGGCAGCATGATCCTTCCAGAATGGAGCTCACACAGGAAGAGCATCAGTGGGCCGTTGCCATCAAAACTGCCATTGAAAAACTCCCAGATCTTGACAATTTGTCAGATTTTGGGTATGCCCAGCTAGCCATTGTTTCTCAAGGCAATGTTGACGATGCTGTTATGAAGGCGTACAGATGCCAAGAGTATAAGGAAGATAATGAAGTGATGGACACATTGGATGATGCACTGAGGAATTTGCCAAGACTTGATAACTATTTGCTCTCTATTGACTACGATATGCAATCCGGTGGCTACGTAGTTGCTGCTGATATGACAAAGACCGATGGAGCCATCTGGACGAATCCAGAGGACACACGCTACTACAACCGCAGGCAATTCTATGCCTCCCAAATAGCATATTGTGATTTGGAGGCACTCAGGGTTGGTGTTACTATTCTTGCTGAATGTGAGGGGTACCGGTTCCAGCTGGTCAAAGGAAGAAGAATGGACTTGACTGCATTTCGATCCATTTGGAGGAATGCGTATGCATATCCAAGAAATCTGAATCAAGTCAAATTTTTTAATGCTCCTCCGGTCTTCAAGATGATGGTGTCAATTACCAAAGCAGTGCTGCCAACAGAAATCACATCTAAATTCCATCTAGTTCCCAAATGCCCATTGGGAAGACTGGACCGGCTGTATCACATGCCAACCCGAGAAATTGCAGGCGCAAGGTTGAAAGAGCGAATGAAAGGGCTTCTAGCCAAACGATATGCCAATGAGGCAAACTTTAGCCTCAATGACAATGCTCCTTTCTTGGAGGAGGCTTGAGTTCCGGATAAATGCTCTAATTTCATCAAAGCCAATCTTTTGCTCCAATAATAGAAAATGTCATGTTTTGGCGCACAGCGCCGAGCTCTGCACAATCACCAGGAAGAAGAGATGGAAGAACTTAGGACCAGGTGAAGCAATATCCCATGAAGCAGCAGCAGCATGACAGCTTGAAACTAACTAATGACAAAGTCAGTGCATGCCTTTGCAATAGCATTCCAACCCGTGAATACTTTGTCTACCATGGCTTCGATTTCGGTCCAGGATTGCTCCTGATATCAACACGAGTGTGGTTGTCACGTTGTCAGTTTGTAAGGTATCGCTGTGGGAAGGAGGAAAGATGAAAGATACCGCCGCTCGAACCCGAGTACGACGCTGTTGGAGAGAGTGTTCCTGAGACAAAGCTCCTTCTATCCATCATGTCATCTCCTTTTCTATCGCTGGATGAGCGAGTGGACTTGGTCTGTCGAGGCCTACAAGAGATCATTGGTGACGTTCAAGTGAAGAATCAAGCGTTGATCAAGAATGACATCAAGAAAGATTCCATGAAAAGGATCACGGCAGAGCGTCCCCTTCGTGTCTATTGGGGAACCGCACCGACGGGAGCTCCACACATTGGATACTTTGTGCCAATGCTCAAGATTGCAGACTTTTTACAGGCAGGATGTGACGTTACCGTTCTGTTGGCAGATCTACATGCATCGCTGGATGCGCTCAAGTCCATGTTGGAAGCCATCGGAGTCTCTACGAAGCAACTACGATTTGTTCGCGGTACGGACTTTCAGCTGAGCCCGGATTACACATTGGATCTCTATAAGCTCATGGCCGAAACTTCCTTTCGAAATGCCGCCAGAGCTGGCGCGGAGGTGGTGAAGCAAGGGGCAGCAGAAACAGACTGCTTGCTATCTGGTTTGGCGTACCGGTACCCATTGTTACAGGCACTGGACGAAGTGTACTTGGGTGTCGATGTCCAATTTGGTGGAATCGATCAACGAAAGATCTTTATCTTGAAGAAGATTGATCCCAACAAAAAGCAAGACAAACTGAACTACAGCAATATGCAGGACATCCCAGATGAGAGACCCGAGGGGATGTCCAAGAATGCACGGAAAAAGCTACAGAAACTACAGAAAGCAAAGTTGAAAGAAATGACAAAGAAAGCAAAGTCAGGAGCCACAACCATGACTGAGCAGCCCAGTGCCACAACGCCAACAGAGGAGACCCCTACGATCAAACACCCTGCATCAGCGGCAGGACAGGGAGGCAAACTCAATTCTGGTGGCAATAAGACGAGTGACAAGAGCTATCACAGACGTGTGCACTTGTGCAATCCCATGGTTCCCAGTCTGGGTGGAGGCAAGATGTCAAGTTCTGGAAAAGACAAGATATACATTCTTGCCTCTCCTGCGCAAGTCAAAAAGCTGGTAGGGAAAGCATTCTGCGTGGATGAAGTGGTGGAGGGAATTGGTTTGCTGGCATTTTGTGAGTTTGTGCTGATACCGTGGCGTCAGGGGCTTGTCCAACCTGGGGAACCTGTTTTTGATATCCCTTCGGATGGTGACGGCTCCACCGTGTCCTTCTATTCGTTTCATGAGCTGAAGACTGCTTTCTTTGGAAACAAAGATCAATTCACAAATGCTCAAGAAAGGTGTGACTAAAGGTCTCAACTTGCTGCTGGACCCTATCCAAAAAGACAAGGCTCGCCTCGAAAAACTAACAAGACTTCACGATGCAGCGTACCCTCCCGGAGCCAAGGACTCTCAGCCGCCGCCCTCAAAACCGACAGTAGAAATACGCGACAATACAAGTAAAACCTGGGCGGTCATTGGCCTTATGTGTGCCTCTGGGTTTGTAGGCTTTGTCGCTGGGGCAGCTCTTACATCTCGTCGTTGGAAGTAATATATTATGTAGTGTTACGTTCAAAATTACATTCTAGGAGGTGATGCAGATGCACACTAGAGTCATACGGTACAGCTTGGTCCCATACCGGTATTTCACGGACAGTTCTACAAGGAGTATTTTGCGAACACGCGCGGTACACAACGGTTAATTGTGAGGAACGTTGGATCAGTGGGACCTCTCTCAATCTACTGGAGTCAATCATCGTCATCCGCAAAAGCGTTTGCACCCCGTCGTCTTTTCCTTCGACTGACTTGAGATAGACGTACAGTTTCGTCGCACTCGTATTCGGAGCTTTGATGATCGTGATAGTATTCGTCTCCATAGTCTTGTTCGGCTCGATCTGGTCGTCCCTCCTTGTGCGCATAATCGTCGTCATCTTCTTCTTCATCGCCTCCATGGTTGTTGTTGGGGTCGGGCGACGAGCTATTGCTGCCTGGTTCCTCCACTACTTCCTCACAATCTGTATCCACCAGCTCGACACTGCTGTCATCATCATCATCATCATCTTTGGAGTGAGCAATCCCATGTCTCTGCTCGAGTTTTGCAATATAATTCCTGTCTGCGGCTCGTTCTTCTTCCGCGTTGAATTCCTGCCGACGACGAATCAGGTCGTGATTGATGGCCCGTCCTCCAACTTCTTCCTCATCGTCGACTTGTCCATCGTCATCATCAAAGCCGCTGCCTAGTAGTGTCGCGCGGTCTTGGTCTTTTCCATAGGCTTGCTGGAGATCCTTCCAAATGCGATGCCCCCGTATTGTAAAGCTACTCCAGAACGCTTCGACTTGTTCCCCATATTCGTCATCATCATCTTGTTGTCGTCGTTTCCAACGCCGGCACTGCCGTCTACCGGCCGTGAGCAGTTGCAATTCATCCTCCACTTGACCAAAGTAATCCTTCATGTATCCCAGTCCTTTCATATCCAAGGCTTTCTTTTGGAATCGTTGTACCAGCCCGTCAGATTGACTCAGGTGAAAACTGTGAAAGACGTTGTTCTTGTAGACTTGGTGTGTATCAATCCGGTGATCTTGCGATAAATGTTGTTTGACATGCTTTAGTTTGCCAAAACAAAATGCGCCGGCAATTTGAAAGGTTGGATCGACCGTGGCCAGAACTTCAATGGGACCGTATTCAAAATTGCCGAGTTCCAACACATCCTCCTCTTCTTGGTCTGCAGTAGTAGTAGCAGTAGAGATCTTCTTTTGCGTATTGTTGTTCTTGTTGTTGTTGTCGTCGTCGTCACTATCATCGCTACCGCTCTTATCATGATCCTCTTGTTCATCGTCGTCACTACTATCAAATGTAGGTCGCTGCTGTCTGTCATGACCATCATCATCTTTTACGTGATCCTTGGGCCGAATGTTGAGAAGCAGCCGACGATAACATTCCACATAGCAGACGGGACAGCAATAGATGTATCGCAAAGCACGTGGATCGTTGGACCGAATGCTGGAGGTTGAATGATCGTCGTCCTCCTCCAAGTGCCGTGAAAGTCTCTTTCGTGGTCGTCGAGTATCGCTATCCTGTACATGGCGTCTCTTGTGACGTCTTGATCTTGGTTCCTCCTCATCGTCGGAATCTTGCAAATCCGTTTCCTTTTCTCTAAAAGCTGGGCGCAAACTGGCCATGCCTGCTGGTGAATTATTGTTGCTCTTTCCCTCTTCCTCCGAGTCTTCCCAAGAAAGAAGCGCGAGCTGCTGGCGATCTTTGACGACGATGGACGGGTTCCTCTTCCACACTATCATCATCTGAATCTTGCTGCTGTTCCTTTTTGAGTGGATTTCCTTGTCGTTGTGGTGTTGCGGCAGGTTGTGTACATAGATATACAACGGACGACGAGTCGCTGCTGCTATCGTTGTCGCTACCCGAAGAGAGTTGAATCACAGGATAACAAGGTAGATTGTGTTTCTTCTTGGCAGACGATCCTGGTGTGACCTTTCGGCTGCGATTTGGAGTTCTCTTCTTTTTGGGAGTGACAGTCGATCTGCGAGTAGTGGCGGCAATAGAAGTATCTTCTTCTTCCTCGGATGAAGAATCTTGATTGTCTCCATTGTCATCGTCATCGTCGTCATCATCAGAAGGTTCTGTACGTCGACGGTGATCGGTAGTCCTGTCTTCTTCCTCGTCTTCCTCGTCTTCTTCTTGCTGCTGTCGACGACGAGTGACTTTGTTCTGTTTGCGTTTCTTTTGCTTCTTTTTCTTTCGACGGCGATCTTCCCATTCTTCTTCCCATTCATCCTCATCTTCACTTTCCTCATCACTACTATCGTCTTCTTTTTGATGCTCTTCAACGTCAGCATCATCGGATTCATCATTCTCAGGACTGTAATCCCCATCGGACCACTCGTCATCATGGCCGCTGCTGGCTTCGCTGTCTTCGCCATCTGGAACAATCCATTCTCGCTCTTCCGCGCTCAATCTCTTTTTGCGGCGCCGAGTACTTGTTGCGAGAGGAGCCAAAACCAGCTGGTGGTTGGCAATCACGAGGTGAACCTCCCGGGACTCGCTAGAACGAGGTAGACGTAGAATCCCTTTTAATTTTTAGCTTATTCTTTTGTGTCTCCCATGTCTACATCGTACTGCACATCGGCCTCCGTTCGCAGTTATGAGCCCAACTCGTTCGTCACACTGCACCCAAGCCGAGACTAGGTGGAGGTTGTTTACCTCACGTAATTGGCTAGCGGAGTGAGTTTGATGCGATGTGCGTTCGAAAAACCGATGGTTGACCTCTCTCGTATGGTCGGACGATGAGAGACTGGATCTTGCCGTTTTTCGGCAAATTCAGACAAGAAGAATCAGGTCACATCAGATACATGGTGTTGACGCAAGACCGCAAGCTCCATCTTGAGCTGAGCTCCAGTCGACATCCAAATGGCTGACAAGCCAGTCTTTGGACGACGACGACCAGTTCAGAGACAACTACGTTTTAGTCTCGCCGTACCAATCTAGTGAAGTCTACGCAATCATGGATACCATTCAAGGATGATGTGGCACTTCGACTGGATCCTGACCTGCAAGTTCGTCAGTTCGCTTGGTTGTCGCTCCTCCTTTTTCGAAGTTGACCTCCAGATCACTCGATTGCGCCAATTCCAGCCGACCATGACGCAGACAGCCACTTCAACAAACCCGAGTAGAACAAAGACTAGAGACCTCGAAGATTAAGCTTATGAAGAGCTCTCCATTCCCATCTACTCACCACAACCCTTCCGTCCTTTAGGTCGCCGCGACTCTGCTCTGTGGCCCGACCTTGGACAACAGAAGAACAGGAATCGACGAAAAAGCCGACGACGTACGCGCGGTGTTGACCACGAGATTCAAGCGGTTGATGGAATCACCGCCGGCCTCGACCGTGGTTCAGCGTGCGCGAGGTGCCCTGACAACCTCCCGTCTGGGCAGATTGACCTCTCGCCGGCTGACTTTCTCGCAAGAAGATTCCGACGCAGCTCTCGTCGCAGGTGGAGGTGGTAGTAGCGTGCACTGACGGTGCGACCACGACCTCTACTTCTCCAAGAAATCCAATCGAAATCAAAACCCAAGCCTGACTCTGAGCCGGATCCTCCGATGACGACGATAACGGCACTCCACCGAATCCAGAGAATCAACATGGAAAGCCAGGACCCGGGGTCCCGGTGGTCCAGGTGGTCCCGGTGGTCCAGTTGGAGTGTAATGTGATTGACGATAACGATGATGGCGGTGACGATGATGGCAATGACAATGATGATGGAGAGGAAGAAGAGTAAGTACAAGACCCTAATGGTGAAGTCCTCCACCCCCTCCAGGTGGATGGCCGTACCCTCACCGTTGTAATGCAAGATCCAAGTGGACCTCATCAAGCACGCCTATGGGATAAGGAGAAGCGCCATACTCTCCGTGATGATGTTAGACAGAACTTTGTTAGAGCTGCCACAACTCCTATTCTGGGAAAGCAAGTCAAACTGGCCAAACAGTCCCTCCAGACTGATGTCCATTGCATACTTGAGCAAGTCCAAAATCTAAAGGGCATGCTCAAGACTCTCAGGATGCACATGGAGTAATATGACATCATTGATGTTTGAAACATTATGAATCCTGCAACTAATTTTGCTTACACTCCCATGATTGAGCAGCAGTATGATCTCCTCTCAGACTATGCCAAGATGACTCCCCACATGGTGGGAGAATCCAACTACTTTTACAACCGGTATATTCAGGAGCCCTATGTCCGAGATAACATGACCCTCGTGTACTCTCTTCTCAAGGCCAACACCGAAGAATCCCTTGGGAATAAATGCCTTGAGACCTATGAGACCTTTGATCCTTACCAACAAGGTGGACCCCTGATGTTGATCCTCATACTTCATCGTATCCAAGACTCCTCTGAGTCTGCCATTCTTCGAGTGCTCGGTTCCCTCAAGAAGTTGAAGATCCGAGATCTAGAGGGAGAGAGTGTGGAAACCGCTGTAACTCTCATCAAGACTGCCACTGATCTGTTGACCAGCAATGGCAGGGAAGGCAAGAGCTTTATCCCTGATGACTACACTGAGACTGTCTTGGACATCTTCCAGTCCTCGAGTAACTCTCAGTTCAACAAGACCTTCAAGGACGTGAAGGATGCAGCCCTCGCAGAATCAGATCGAACCTCTAAGCTTCCAGTTTACCCTTCCATATCTGAATTGTGTGATCAAGCTGCCAACATGTACAACCGCCTGGCTCGCCAGCCAGATGGTTGGGTCAAATCTAGCAAGAAGAAAGCCAGTGGCTTCCAAGCTCAAGCAAACACCAACTCTCGAGGAGGTGGAGGCCCTCCTCTCAAAGGTTGGAACTGTGGTTCTCCTGACCACATGATTCCTAAGTGTCCCAAGCCCAAGGATGAATCCCTTATTGCCAAAGCTCGCAATGCCTTCTTGGATGCTAAGAAGAAGTCGGGAAATTCCTCCAAGGACAAGCACTCAAGGCTTACCAAGATGTCAGAAGATGTAAAGCCTCTCATTCAGAATAAGCATGGCCAGTTCGTTCTCAACCAGAAGGTTTGGAAGGAGATGCAAACGGACCGAGCCATGATGGGTGTGATTTGTGACCACTATCGCAATAGTGCTGGTGGGTCGCAAACCCATGAGGGAGCCTCCAGCTCTCCACCCACAGATGATACCTCCTCTGGCCACGCAGACCAGTCTGCTTCCGCTCAGACTGACCCTCTGCAAGCAGAACAGTCTCCATCCATGATGCCGTGAATTACATTACTAATCGATGGAACACTGCTGTTTCTCATATGAGCAATTGACTCATTGGTTGGTGGAATATTCTTTGCTCAGTGTATCTTTGGAGTTTGACCTGCTGGAACTACATTTGTCCCTACATTGTTTTTCTCAGCTCTGTCCTACAACTTAGTTGGGCCTGGCCTTGTCTGGTACCTACCCTCCAGGCTCTCAGCCTTGGCATCTGCCTCCCAACCATGACCAGATACACTGCCTTGATCCTCTACTATACCCTTTCACCCCTTATCCTTCTTCTGTACCAGAATCATTTCTTCGGACCACACCTTTTCCCAGACCACTTGTGGGTCCTGCCCTTTTACTGTGTTGAGGATTTGGCCTTCCTCTTCAGTCTCCTTGCCTACCTTTCATTGGCACAGGGGTGGTGGTTTAGCCTCATGTTGTGGCTACTCTGCCAATTTCTTTCGCAAGGACCTCTCAGCCTTGGCATCTGCCTCCCAACCATGACCAGATACACTGCCTTGATCCTCTACTATACCCTTTCACCCCTTATCCTTCTTCTGTACCAGAATCATTTCTTCGGACCACACCTTTTCCCAGACCACTTGTGGGTCCTGCCCTTTTACTGTGTTGAGGATTTGGCCTTCCTCTTCAGTCTCCTTGCCTACCTTTCATTGGCACAGGGGTGTGGTTTAGCCTCATGTTGTGGCTACTCTGCCAATTTCTTTCGCAAGGACCTCCTTTTGGCCGACAAGATGTGAGATTCTGGTCCCAGTGGCCACCTGATGTCCCACTGGTTCATTATTACCAGCATTTAGTCCCCTCTGATGCTGGCTGGCGTGTTCAACTGAAGGCCAAAGTTCGGTTGAAGCGTAAGGCAAGAGCACTGCGCAAGCAAAAGGCTGCGCTCTGGAGCGAGAAGCTTGATTCCAACCTCAGGTATTTCAACTCCTTCACAGTACGCCCCAGAAACTCTGCCGATGGACGACTACTGAAGCAGTCAGTGTTGTTGAAAAGACACCACAGGCGCCAAGTCCTCCACAATCTCAAGCACAAGACAGCCAAGAAACAATTCCAACTACGGCGCTTTGTGTCATCCGTGGCTCCTTCCAAAAGACCTAGGTGGAAGAACCAGAAAAAAAAAAAAAGAAAAAAAAAAAAAAAAAACAAGAAGAAGCATAAGCTATGTGCACTACTACACACCGTCCTTACTCCCAAGGTACCGTGTCTATTCAAGCTGGGAAGAATATTTTGATGACTTCTGCTCTGACCAGTGGATACCTGAACCTAAGGAGATTCGACCGTCTTACAAGAAGAAGCATATGTGCGACAATACCATTGTGCATTGATTAATCTAGGGATCTAAGAGATGTAAAGTTTGTATTTCCAAATAAGTGAGCAGTTATTGATTATTTTCTAGAATAAGCCTGCTAATTGTAAAGCTGTAAAGCTGTAAAGCTTAATTGTAAGCTGTATCACGTCGCACTCTCTTACAGCTGAAATGAAGCATGAGCAAGAAACGATAGGAAAGAGTCCCCAGCAACGTGCTGAGGTAGATAACCATCCCATGAGGAGCTTCCGAATGACAGCAAACTGTGGAGCCGGAAAACCCTTAGTGAAAATGTCGTCCCGTTGTTCCAGAGTCGGAATATGCTTAGCCACGATGCCCTTCGACTCCCCGATATTGAACCTGAAGAAAGTGGTAACTCAATGCCAAATACTTGTTGCGCGCAGACATTTTTGGAACATTCACAAGATACAGGCAACCTTGGTTGTCTTCGAACACTGTCTAGCGCACGAGACTGTCAGTAATTCCGGCATATTCAGTTTGCTACCATTTTCCTTGAGCAGGGCTCGCAAAGGAAGCAGATCCCTCATTGACATGCTGAGGGCAACATATTCAGCAGCAGTTGAGCTCAAAGTAATATCATTCTGTAGCTTGCTCGACCAGATAATAGGGCACCCAAACAGAGCCAGGACAAATCCAGTGCGAGACTTGACGGACACAGGATCCTGTTCATCCTTATATCCATACAATCCGGCGAAGTTAGCATCGACCCAACAGTCATGTCCCTGATCAAGTTTAGGCTAAAACAAATGCCTTTGTCACTTGTGCCAATCAGAAACCGAATGATACGTTTAATTGCGTGAGCATGGGAATGCCTGGGATTCTGACTGAATCGTGCCACCTGGTGCAACACTAAATGTGATGTCTGGGCGAGTGTTTGACGCAATATAAAGAAGCATCCCAAATGCAGCTGGATAGCTCCACCCTTCTTCAAATGGGGCCCTCAGTTTGTCAGCTCCGAGAGGAATCGGTGGCGGCAGGTAGATAAAGCTTCTTGCAAGCGTCAGACATACCAGTATATTCGATTACCTTGTTGATGAGCCCCCTTTGAGTAAGCTCAACATGGTCTCCCTGTCTTTCAAAAATAATACCGTAGGAATACAAAGATGTCACCCTTTTCCTCCATGGTGAGGTCATATCCAAGGTTCTGGAGCTGCCCAACAAAGGACTCAATCAGATCATTTGCTGGACTGAGCCAGATTTGGTCATCACAATAAATTAATAACATGAGTTGATGATCCTTATGAATAAAAAAACATGGGTCTGCTGCCTAGTTTTCGAAACCAAGTTGGATCACCCCACGACATAGATGCTCATAAAATAATTTGGGTGAATCGTCCTGCCATAGATGACCTTGTCAAGTTTCAAACACAAGTCCTGTCCCTTCAATAGCCTTTTGGGGTTCGATAGTACTGAAGCAATTCCATGTACAGTGACTGGTCGACAGGCTGAGGGGTTTGACAGAAAGCAAGAGTAAAATCAACTTTGTCTTCGATTCCGCATCCATGGTCAGCTGCAAGAAGAAGACCGGCTCAAACGGTGGGCCAACCAACAAGTGGAAGGTACGCGACGCCTTCATAGGACTGAAGGTCTCCTCTGCAGCACCTTCTAGATTTGAACTTATTTAATTGTCCGTCTGGTAAACTCTTAATTCGTTGCACCCATTTTCCAGGAACCGCCTTTAGTTGTGAGGGCATAGAAGAACGTTGTACGATGTCCCAAGTCCCTTTGCCTTCGAGGCTGGCAAATTCTTTGTCCATTGCTGCCGAGAAATGGTCTGCATGTGGTCCCATCAGAGATCCTTCAGAGAGGGAGATCAGGGTCTTTGGAAAATTTTGGCCTTGAGAGCCAGTGGGGTTTGAAGAATGGCAGGATGAAATGATTCCTGGGTGTTGGTCAAAAGTGAATAACCATCCACCTGAGAATGCATCATGTGACCAGAAATTGGAGTAACTCCAAAGGTCCAAAGCTAAAGCACAACTAAACAGGGATGAAGGACGCGCATAATTCTTCAACTTTGGGTCCATGTTCAGAGTCTCAGCCTTCTTGCTGTGGGCTGTTCAACTGGGATTACGACGAGGGGCTGAGATTGGCTCGATGTGGCAATCAGTGGTGGGAGTGCTGATGATGGGAGGCTCCCTGTCCCAAAGAAGAGGGTAAATTTTGAGTCTGAATGGTGGTAGAGCGACTCTGAATCTCCCTGTGTGAACCCTGGGGTTGTGCTGGAGACTGAGCTTTAAAATGAAGATCATCCTTTTTTTCTTTGCTCTTGTCATCCTGCCATAATTTTCTCCCATTGCGAAGCTTCTGAAGATGAGATCGGTGCTGGTTGATGGCTTTTTCCTCTGGAGTAAGCCACTCGCCTGCTAATGGAGGTGGAGTGTCCTCATCAAATAGAGTCTCGAAGCGTTGGAAGATGCACAAGTTGGTCCACTCTAGAGGTGGTTGATTTTCTGAAGAGTAACGTCTCCAACCAAATCAATCATAAGAAACAAGATGGTACTGAAAGGGAAAAGGTATCCGGTTGTAAAGGTTGTGGATCAGGCCAACATTTTCTGAATGGAACGGTGAGGTGCCAACATATTGTCCTCTCCTTGACCTGGGCTGCCATTTGGAATCTTTCCTCCCTCACTGGTAAGCCGGGGTTACAAAACATATGCAGGGGCATCCCCATGGAATGGCATTTCTGATGACTTTACCATCACTGATAGTTCTTGAAAATATCTCATTGGGAGCAATGCCAGTGATTGGATTTGGAGTGTGGTTTTAAAGGTTAGCTGCATGATAGACTGCTAAGGGCCACAGGGATTCATCATCACTTTCCGGCCATTAGAATGGCAGCATGGATCATCATTGTTCTAGCTTGGTTACTACAATTCTAATGCTCCCTCAGAAACCCCATTCGTCCATTTGGCACCGGTCGCAAAATATTTTTAATTGAACATGATGGTGGTCCCTAAGATATTGGACATATGCTTGGCTTTTGTAGATTGCCATTGTCAGTGTGATATGATTGAACCACAACCCCAAGTTCGAGACACCATCGTTTGTATGCTTCCTTGGACATGAAAGAATCAGAAGCATTTAATGTAACCTGGTGGTGGGCAAAGATGACAGCTGATGCAGCATCACAAAATATTGAGTTTCCACAGAATTTACTGCTATCTTGTTCCCTTCCTGCAGTATGAACAATCTTCCTCTGACTCTTGATTCAAATTGATCACTAAAGGATGTCATAACCGGCTCCAATTGTTCTTTCTTGAGTGCTCCCTGTTTGTCTGGAGCTTCTTGGTGACAGTGTGTGATCATGTTGCCCTTGACTTGTTTTCCATAATGACAAGCGGCACATTTAGGATGCTCCCCGACCTTGCTTCTAAGAAAACCGAGACCATTCTTGTCTAAGAAACAAACCAACCCAAGAGATTGTACATTGGAGAAGGACAGATGTCCCACCTTGTAATGCCATTGCATCCATATTTTGTCAAAAATAAAAAGGTTTCTGTTGTTGGTATGTAGAACTGAAGTCATTGATTGTAGAGAAAAGAGTGCCTTTCCCCCCCCCCCCTTTGGAACAGAGTAAGTCGCGTTAGAAAACTGGATCAAACTTCATTTGTGGCATTTTCTTTCCTCCCGTATGCCTCTCAGCATGGTCGTGATAAACCCTGAAGTG